ACCCAGTGGCTTAAAACTCACGCCAGGCACGTGTGCGTGCGTGCCCAAGATCCCTAGAGGAGATTGGAGGAGAAGGGATTGCGGCGTGACCACCCCCTCTGGGGGGTGATTTCTTGCTTTCTGTCTGTCTCTCTCTGTCTGTCTGGCGAGCGCACGTGCCCTATAGCGAAAAACCTCTCCAAAAAAAATAAATAAATAAAATAAATGAATGAATGAATAAAATGAAATTAAAAATAATTCTTTAAAGAAACAAATTAAAGAACAATAATGAATAAAATTGAATAAATAATTCTTTTTTTTTTTTTGGAAGAGACTTTTGCTATAGAGTGTATGCACTCACCAAAGAGACAGGGAGAAAGTGAGAAATCACGCCCCCCAGAGGGGATGGCCATGCCACAATCCCTTCTCCTCCATTCTCCTCCTGAGATCTTGGGTGCACAGGCACATGCCCCTGGTGTAAGTTTGAAGGCACTGGGTCTGAGACTTGAACCATAGTTGGCCATGTGGGAGTCCAGTGACATAAATGCTAACACCATCTGCTGATACCAAAAGTGAATAAATAATTATATGTATATTTTAAAAAGTGGCTGGTAGGCTAGCTGGTGGCATGGCACGCAAGGCGGCTGGATCCCCCATGGCTGACCAGGGTTTGAATCCTGGCCTCAGTGGGAACACACCAGGTGCACACGTGTGTGCCCAGGATCCTGAAAGGATGAAGAATTAGAGGAAAAAAGGATTGTGGCATGATCAGGCCCCATTAGGGGTGCTTTTCTCTCTCATTCTCCCTCTCTACTTCTCTCTCTCTCAGGCACGCTCACATGTCCTCCGACATTAAAAAAAAAATTTAGTAGTACATTTTGGTGACAAAAAATTTTAAACTGGGTTGGCAGGTGGTGTGGTGGTTAGGGGTGCTGAAGTCCCACATGGCTGACCACGGTTTGAGTCCCGGACCTGGCAGCTTGCTTCTTCACTTTTTCTATCTCTCTCACTCTGTCCCTCTCTGGTCAAAATTTTAAAAATAAATAAAGTTAAATAAAATGGTTCTTTAAAAAAATAAATTGGAGGGAACCAGCAGTTAGCGTAATGGCTATGTTGCTGGACTCCCACGTAGTCGACCGCGGTTCGTGTCCCGGACCCGGTGGCTTAAAAAAAAAATAAAATAAAATAAATTGGGGGCCGGCAGGTGGCATGGTGGTTCAGAGCGCTGGATCCCCACATAGTGGTTTGAGCCCTGGACCTGGCAGCTTGCTTTCTCACTTTCTCTCTCTCTCTCTTTTACTCTGTCCTTCTCTGGTCAAAAAAATTAAAAAAATAAAACAGATAAAGTTAAAATAATTCTTAAAAAGAAATTTAAACCCATGCCGATTTTTCTCATAAGCATGTCCCATCACCTTTTTTATTCGTAGAGAGATTTTTTTTGCTGTAGGGTGTGTGTGCTCGCTGGATGACAGAGACAGACAGAAAGTGAGAAGTCACCCCCATGGTGGGATGGCCATGCCACAATCCCTCCTCCTCCCGGGGTCCCGAGCACAGACACACACACACACCTAATGTGAGTTTGAAGCTGCCGGGTCCAGGACTCGAACCATGGAGTCCAGAAGCATCACCGTGACGCCATCTGCTGGTCCCACCCACTAGGCTTTTAAAGACCCTTGTGCAGTAAGAAGAGTGAACCTGACCACGAGCTGCGTGACTCTGGTTAGGAATAATGACTCAGCACAGGGTAACGAACATCCCCAAGACCAGATGCTCACGACAGGGAGACTGCGGAGGGGGAGACAGGAGATACAAGGGGCTCTGTACTTCCGTTCAGTTTTTCTGTAACCCTAAAACTCCGTGAAAAGGTACCACCAGGCTGGGCTTCTGCTGGAAGTGCAGGGAGCAACAAACAGCCCCCAATAGGTCCTTGTGGGGATTTAGACACACTCACGGCAGGACCAGCAGATGGCATAAAGGTTAAGTTGCTGGACTCCCACACGGCCGACTGCGGTTCTGGTCCCAGACCCAGTGGCTTAAAACTCACTCTGGGTACATGTGAACATGTGCCCAAGATCCCGAGAGGAGAATGGAGGAGGAGGGATGGCAGCCTGGAGGGGGATTTCTTGCTCTCTGTCTCTCTGGTGAGCGCATACGCCCTATAACAAAACTCTCTTTAATTAACTAACAGACAGATATTTAGATAAATAAACAAACAAATAAAGCAAGGACTCACGGCAACCCCTTCCAGGGCCAGAGCTGCAAGGACTCTACAGCTCCTGGTCCCGAAGGACACAGCACCGAGTGTGACTCCCTGGGCCTCGGTCCAAGACCACTTCCTCCTGGGCCCTCCCAGATACCCAGCTGCCAATCATCCTACCCAAGGGCCTGGGACTGGCACAGACCTCCCTCTCTCAGGATGACGATGGCAGAGAAAACCCCGCACACCCAGAGACAGACGTCAGAGAGGACGAGACAGAGCCCGAGGCTCCGCTCCAGCTCCAGGAGCCAGCGTTGTGCACTGCGCACAGCAGCAGGGCTCAGGGTCAGAGGGTCAGACGGAGCCAGCTCAAAGTCCCTGCTGTGTCATGTGTGTCGCTGGGAGGAGTGGGTCAAAAAGAGGCCAAGTAGCAGCACGGGTGGCCCCACATGGGAAAGGACCCGGGCTCACGTCCTGGGACCTCTCTGGGCACCGGGCAGGTCCAGACACCTACCATAATCCAGGCTGACCGGTGTGGAACCTGGCTGGGAGCCGGCTGCAACATGGGGGTTCTGCTGGGGGTATCTCTCTGTCTCTCTGCCTATCTCAAATGCATGAACAGCCTCGGCAGGAAAAGGAGAGACAAGCAGCTCAAAGCCCGATGGGAAGAGTCAAGTGGCAGGGAAGTGGCCGCGTGTGCTCAGCATTTCTGGGGCGCGCTGGGCATTCCACACTGGCTGGGGATGCTAAGACCAGGCCCGCCGGCCTCTGTAACTCCAAAGGCCCTGGACGGCAAAGGCCCCCCACTCAGAAGCCATTGGTGTGTGACCGATCTCCGCAGCCCCACCTTCTACCTGGCCAATGAAGCCTGGCTTCAGACCCCCGCGGTGTCCGCTTGCTCACGCCCCACTCACTCACCAGCAGCAGCTCTCCGCCTGGCCGAGGCTGATATGTGGAACCACGGGGTAGGCTGTGGCCGGAGAGGAACTGGAGACCACCGCGGAGGCATCTCTAATTGGGAGAGAAAAGAGGAAGATTAATTGAAATGAGACGGTGACTGGGAGCTGGGCGCGGTGGTGCATCTGTGATCCCACCTACTCAGGAGGCTGAGACAGGGTGGGGGGGATCGCGAGTTTGAGGCCAGCCTGGGCAACTCAGTGAGACCCTGTCGACACCAAACAGCAGGGGACATCTAAGACACATTCAGCCATTTTTATAGCATGTGTGGACGCTCCGCAATCTTCTCAAAGTCTAAGAAGCCAGTGGATTCTCATGGGGTGGGAGAATGCTGTGTTCACACACCTCTAAGGCCTGTTTCTATCCTCCTGCCTCCAAAACTAGTAGGAAAACGATGGTTCCCAGAAAATACCAGCCTAGGGGCTGGCAGGTGGCACCGTGGTTAAGGTGCTAGACTCCCACACGGCTGACCACGGTTCAAGTCCTGGACCTGCTTTCTCACTTTCCCTTTTTCTCTCTCTCTGCTCAAATTAAAAAATAATAATGATGATAATAACAAATAAAATAAATAATTCTTTAAGAAAGAAAATGCCAGCCTATGGAGAAGACGGCTAAATGTACTGTATAATTGAAAGGGAGCATCCTAAGCCTCAATGCTGGAGGCAAATAATCTTTTCTCACAAGCCCACCACACTTTAGCCAGTCTCTAAAAATTTAAGTCCTGGGGGCCAGCAGGGATCATAGTGGTTAATATGCTGGACTCCAACATGGGTAATCATGGTTCAAACCCCAGACCCGGTGGCTTGAAACTCACACCGGGCACGTGTACACGCATGCCCAAAATTCCGAGAGGAGAATGGAAGAGAAGGCCTTCCACGGTGGCTATCCCTCCTGGGGGGGTGATGTCTTGCTTCCTGTCTCTCTGTTTCTCTCTCTCTCCCACGAGCACACATACCCTATAGCAAAAATCTCTCTCTCAAAAAAAAGTGAGACCTGACTTTCAGAAACAAACGCACACAACTTACTGTCCCAAGATAACTTAGGGGGGTCAGCAGGTGGCATGAGGGTTAAGGGCAGTGAACTCCCATATGGCCAACCCCGATTTGAGTCCTGGATCTGGCAGCTTGCTTTCTCACTTTCTCTCTTTCTTTCTCTCACTCTGTCACTCTATGGTCAAATTTAAAAAATGAAAAAGGTTTGGGGATCAGTAGTTGGCATAATAGCTACATCACCAGACTCCCACGTAGTCGACCGCAGTTCAAGTCCCGGACCCAGTGGCTTAAACCTGGGCACGTGTGCGTGCCCAAGATCTCGAGAGGAGAATGGAGGAGAAGGGATTGCAGCATGGCCATCCCCCCGGGGGGGTGACTTCTCGCTTTCTGTCTCTCTGTCTTTCTGGCAAGCACACACATCCTACAGCAAAAACCTCTCCAAAAAAATAAATAAGGTTAAATAAAATAATTCTAAAAAGTAAAAAGATAACCTAAGAATAAGCGTGTAATGTCCTGGTCAAACGCTGGAGCTCCCAGAACGGCAATTCTGAGGAATCACTTTGGGCAAAGACCCAAAGCTAACCCCACATGAAAGACACTTTCTTCGGCTACCAAACCATGAACTTGAAGCTCCATGGGGGTTCTGTCCACCTCCACGCTGTCACACTCTATGGCACCCAGCCTCGCACGTCGATGCCAAATGATCCCATAGAACCACTCGGCCGTTTCTTCCCTTCCTAGGCCTGTTCCCTGCCTCCGAGCTCTGGGAACCCTAAGCAACATCTCAAACGTTTACAGGTGCCACTGTCTGCAGAAGTTACTCCCGGACAACTCTGGGAGGGTAAATACCTTATTTTATCCCTCTAAATGCATATACCCAACTGAACTACCGACTTCAGCCACTGTCTGACACAGAAGTGACAGACATCCGGCCTGGGAGAGAAAGCTCCTATGAGGTTGGTTCCCCGGGGTCTTGTGCCTAAATCCAAAGGGAAAACAAAAAATTCAACCTCTCAACACTGACTCAAAAGACAAGAATGTAAGAATCCATGGCTGGCAGGTGGCACGGTAACTGATGCTCTGCACTCCCACATGACTGACTGCAGTTCGAGTCCTGGACCTGGTGGCTTGCTTTCTCACTTTCTCACTCTCTCTGGTCAAACTGAGAAATAATACTACTAAATAAGGTTGAGGGGCTGGCAGGTGACAAGGTGGTTGAGGGTGCTGAACTCTCACACGGCCGATCACAGTTCAGGTCTCAGATCTGGTGACTTGCTTTGTCACTTTCCCCTTCTCTCTCTTGCTCTGTCCCTCTCTGGTCAAATTAAATACATAAATAAAATGAAGTAAAATAAAATAACTATTAAATAAGATTGAATAGGGGCTGGGGTGTGGCGTGGTGGTTAAGGGCACTGAACTCCCACATGGCTACCACGGTTTGAGTCTCAGACCAGACAGCTTGCTTTCTTTCTCTCTTTCTCTCTCTCTGTCCTTCTCTGGTCAAATTAAAATAAGTAAATAAAATAAGTAAATCTAATAAAATAATTCTTTAAAAAAATGTTTCAAGGGCCAACAGTTGGCGTAATGGCTATGTCGCTGGACTCCCATGTAGTCGACCATGGTTCGAGTCCTGGGCCCAATGGCTTAAACTCACGCTGGGCGCGTGTGCATGCGTGCCCAAGATCCCGAGAGGAGAATGGAGAAGAGATTGCGGTGTGGCCATCCCCCCTGGGGGGTGATTTCTCACTTTTTGTCTCTCTGTCTCTTTCTGGTGAGTACACACACCCTATAGCAAAAACCTCTCCAAAAAATAAAAAATGTTTCTTAAAAAATAAGAAAGATTGATAGGGGCCAGCAGGTGGCATGGTGGGTAAAGGCGCTGGGTTCCCACATGGCCGACTGCGGTTCAAGTCCCAGAACTGGTGGCTTGCTTTCTCCCTTTCCCTTTCTCTATCTCTGTCTCTCTTTCTCTCTCTGGCCAAATTAAATAATAGTATCAAATGGATTAAAAAAAAATGGTTGGGGACTAGCGGGTGGACTGGTGGTTAAGGGGCTGGATGCTCCCACATGGCTGACCACGGTTCAAATCCTGGACCTGGTGGGTTGCTTTCTCACCTTCTCTCTCTCTGTCTGTGTGTGTCTCTCTGGTCAAAAAAAAAAAAAAGAATAAAATTAAAAAATTTTTTAAAAATGGTTGAAAAAAAAATTTTTAAAAAAAAAAAAAAAGGTAAGAAGCCAGAGAAGAAAGTCAGTCCTGGGTCACAGACACCTCTGCTCCTGTGAGATGTTTTCCTTCCTCTCTATGGTTTGGCACTGGAGTCAGACTGACCTGAGCTTGGGACGGCTGGCCACACAGGAGGCCTGGGACTGTGGGCAGCTGCTTAACCTCTGAGTTGCCAGTTTCCCAAGCTAATGAAACGGGGAGCAACAGCGAGGTGCTGAAGTATTTCTGAGTGCGTGTCACGCTCGACTCGGGGACCCAAGAGCCCACGCTCTTGGCCTCCCGCAGCCACCCTGAGCATCCGGAGAAGCGATGCAGGCAATGCGCTCAGTGCACCCCCTGCATTTAAGCGCGAGCTGTGAATGTCACGCCTGTGACATTCTGCCTTTCCCTCGCGACTTCATCTCCACGGGGCGCCACAGCCCGGGCCACCACTCACTTCCCCAGTGCACGTGGGGTCTCCGCTCCCCGCCGGGCTCCGCACTTCGCCGCCCCCTGCCCGGCGCGCTCGGTCCCCGCCCCCAGGCCTCACTCCGTGGCCCCAGCCCTGGCCGCGGCTGACTCAACGACCCGAACCTAAGCCTCCAGCGAGGCCCCGGGAAGGGCCGCGAGGTCCTAAGGGCCTGAGGTGGAGGAGGCCTTGGAGGGTGCGGGCTCAGAGACCCCTAAATTTGGCCCGTCCGCCTCGCGCGTCCGCTCACCTGCGGACCCCCCCCCCCCCGCGCCCCCCCCGCCGCCATGTTGGAAGATTCCGTGTGACCTTCTTGCGTCGCAGCTCGATTGCGTCATCAGCCTCGTCTGCCCGGCTTGGCAAGGCCCTGGGAAAAGCCGGCGCGGGGGAGGCGGGGTTTAGAAGAGAGGAGGCCTTTGATTGGGCAGAACGCCACAGGTTTATAATAGGGGGCGGGGCCTGATGGAGGGTGGGGAATTCCTTGAGAGCTTGGCCTCTGATAGGGCCGAGTTTAGAAAAGTGGGCCTGTGATTGGATATGGTTTAGAAGGCGGGCGGAGCCTGAGGTTAAGGATTCAGTCCCTGAGCCGTGTTCCCAAATAGATCGCGCAGTGTTCTGGTAGCCAGACCGGTAAACCAGTGTGTCTGCGGGCCAATCCTAGAGTGACTGGCCCTGGCTCTCTCCGACAGTGACCGACTAACACACCAGCAAGAGAGATGCTTCACCACCAGGCAAGCGCAAAGGCGCCCACTCTTGGACAGCATTTTGGGAAGATGCCCATTAGTTTGATCCAGAACCAGAACGGGACGCTGACACCGGACCGGCTGGATGCGGACCAATCCTCCATCGATTCAGTGTGAATTGATACAA